TGGTGGTAGTAGTAGAAGGAATGGTAAGTAGTAGTAGTAGTAGTAGTAGTAGTAGTAGTAGTAGTAGTAGTAGTAGTGTAGTAGTAGTAGTAGTAGTAGTAGTAGTAGTAGTAGTAGTAGTAGTAGTAGTAGTAGTAGTAGTAGTAGTAGTAGTAGTAGTAAGTAGTAGTAGTAGTAGTGTCGTAGTAGTAGTAGTAGTAGTCGTCGTCGTCGTCGTAGTAGTAGTAGTAGTAGTAGGTAGGGTAGTGGTAGTAGTAGTAGTAGTAGCAGTAGTAGTAGTAGTAAGTAGTAGTAGTGTGTGGTGGTGGTGGTGTGGTAGTAGTAGAAGGAATAGTAGTAATATAGTAGTAGTAGTAGTAGGAGGAGGAGTAGTAGTAGTAGTAGTAGTAGTAGTAGTAGTAGTAGTAGTAGTAGTAGTATAGTAGTAGTAGTAGTAGTAGTAAGTAGTAGTAGTAGTAGTAGTATAGTATAGTAGTAGTAGTAGTAGTAGTAGTAAGTAGTCGTCGTAGTAGTAGTAGTAGTAGTAGTAGTAGTAGTAGTAGTAGTAGTAGTAGTAGTCGTAGTAGTAGTAGTAGTAGTAGTAGTAGTAGCAGCAGTAGCAATAATGAGAATACTCGTAGCTCACGTAGCGCGCGTCGGCTGCACCTGGCGGCGGAGCCACCACGGGGGGCGGTGGCGCTGCCTCTGGCGGCGATGGTGTTCCCCTGGGGAATTCCAACGTCTGCTCGACTCTACGAACGAGTTCAGTAGCTGTCGGCCCCTCAAGTTTCTCCCGCGTAGTTAGCCACCTGAAACACCGCATCGCCGAGCCTCGCGAAGCCCGCTGCGGCTAGATGATCAACGTCATCATGAGTGTAGTCCCTTTCCGTGGTGGCAGTCTCCCACGCCAAGAGGGACACGGCGTCCAGACTGGGCGCCGCGGGCGCTCTGTCGCCCGAGGTCCCGCGGCGGCGGCGGCGGCCAGCGGCTGGGGGTCAGGCGCCGGGGTGGCGCTGGTCGCGGGGCGGGGGACCAGCGGCGTGGGCAGCCCGGCGGCGGCAGCGCCAGCGCCCCAGCGCAGCGCGGCAGCCATCGCCGGGACCGCGAGCAGCGCAGCCAGCAACATGGCGGCCGCGCCTGTGGAACGTCCCTGCTCCCTTCGAAGAGAGAGGGGGCTCGGCGCGCCGCCGCGCCAAAAAGGCTTGAGCGTGCCCCTTCCTCCTTCTCTGACCTCTCACCCTTTTGAGCCATACGAGCTGCCGCATCGAACTGCCAATCACAGCGCGCCTCGAGGCCCCGCGGCGCGGCACCGTGATGGTGGCCCTGGCGGCAGAGGGGCGAGCGAGGAGGAGGGGAAGCGGTTGCGTACGTTTTCCGTGGCAGAATCTAAGGCGAGGTGCCACGAGCCTAACACGAAGCCCAGCCCCCACACGGGCCCCCCAGGACACGGCCCTCGGGGCGGCGTTCGAAACAAGACAGGTGGCTCTCGGGTCGTCCACTTAGGCCCTGGCCCCCCAACGCGGCCCCCCGTCTAGCTACGCGTGAACAGCCCGACCCTGCCCAAAGGCGGGGCAAGCCAGCACCTCTTGGACGCCCTAATTTTCTGGGATGACTGCGGTCCGGGGTAGCGCCTATTTGGGCCCCCGAGGCACGAACCCGTAGCTGCCCCGGACCGTCCCCAGCCCCGATGACTCGGGAGGGCTGGACGCCCGAAGGGTCCGGGATGACTCCGGCCCGGGGCACCTCCGAGTTGGGCCCCCGAGGCGCGAATCGGCAGCCAGCCCTGCCCACCCCCCGCCCTCCCCAGACCCCCGACGTCATGATTTTTTCATGACGTCGACCCCCCGAGGTCTCGACCCATTCCCCGGGACCGTCTTTTCGTCCTGAGTCGTTTTTTGACGCTCCCGAGGCCCGGTGAGGGCCCCCAGAGGCCGAAAACTGAGGAAAACCGCCCGTCGTGATTTTTTCATAACTCGAGGGGGTCTGGGTCATATGATTCGGAGCTCTGAGCCTCTGAATCCTGGGGATCCTCCAGCCGGCTGCAGCGCGTGACCTGGCAGGCCGGCGGGCTCGTCGGCGGCGACGCCGGCGGCGGCCACTCCGCGGGCGGCGGGCCGCCGAGCAGCATCCTGACGGGCCTCGAGCTCGTCCCCGTCCCTGGCACTGATGGGGGGCCACACGCGAGCCCTACCCCTACCCCCCACGACTTCTGAGGGGGAGGGTGGGGCTCACTTCGCTCGGGAGCTCCCAGACGAAGTGAACCCCCCCCTCCCCCTCCGGAATCGTGGGGGGTATAGGGCAGGGCTCGCGCGTGGCCCCCTCGCTGACGAGCCCGAGGGCGAGGACAATCTTGGGGGGATGCACCGTCAGCAACCGAGGGAAGCCTCAAGATCGGCGTCGCCACGAGGCGATGCCAGTCACAGGGATCGGGACGTGTTCCAGGCCGGCAGCGTCCTCCCGCGCGCCGAGAGCGGGCCCCCGCCGACGCGCCCCCGCGCGGCACCGGCGCCGGCGAGGCCCGGCCGCGAGGCCGGCGGCTCCGCGGAGAGGCGGACCTTTTGGACGGCGAGATCCCAGACCTCCTGCTCCAGATTTCGTAATAAAGGGAGGGGGGTCTCATTTCGGGGGGGGGTCGCTTCCAAGCTATCTTGGAGGGCCTGGGGGGGTCTGGGGACGATGTTTGGGAGGGTTCTCCCACGGGGGGGGTCTGAAATGGCTTGTCTTGGAGTGTCCAGACCCCCTCCCTTTTACTACGAAATCTGGAGTACGTATTGAAACGTTCGATTCTAAGGATTCTCGCTGTTTGCGGCCTCCGGGGGGGCCTCGCTGGGCCCCGGTACCGTCAAAGAAACGGCTCGGGATGAAAGACTTGACTAGGGGAGAGGGTCGGGACTTCCAGGGATCGCATATCGAAAAAAGCACGACATCGGAACACTGGAATCTAGACTCACCCTGAGGTCCTGGCGTGACACATGTTTCGAGTCGGGCGTTTTCAACTGATTTCTGGCCCCGGGGCCCTCACGGATCGATCGGGATCGAAAATTGGCGCAGAAAGATGAGGTCCCAGTCTCTGGTCGTGATTTTTCGAGATGTTGCAGTCTTTCGTATCGTGAAAATCGAAACGGAAATTCTTCTCCGTTCTCGGCCTCTCGGGACCCTTACCAGGCCTCGGGGCCGTCAAAAAACGACTCGGGATGGAAAACTGCAAGTAGTACCAGGGAAGTGGTCGAGAGGTCGTCGCCCATGTCTCGAACAAATCGGGACGCCAGATGTCTGGGTAGACTCAGACAGACATGCTCGCGTCGGGAAAAAAACACGGCGGGAGGTTTCTGGCCGTTTTCGGCCTCTGGGGGCCCTCGCTGGGCCCCTGGGACCGTCCAAAGCCGACTCGGGATGAAAGGCCTGCCCTGGGGAAGGGGTCGGGACCTCTGGTTCCTCTCCTCTCCCCTTATCGCCTCGTCGTTCCTTCCCCCCTCCGCGTTCGTGTCCTCGTCGTCGTCGCCCTGCGAATTTTGAGGATCCAGCGCGGGGTTACCCCTGAGCCGACGCCCAGCGCCCCGCACGGCGTCTTCGTGGCTGTCCCCTGTTGGAGGCGGAGGCCCCCGGTGCCTCCCGCGCCTCCAAGGCCAAGGACCTTATCCGGCACCGGCTCGGCAGGCCCCGGAGACCCGGCAGGGAAGAAGTCAAGACGTCGGGAATCTGGGGACACGTCCACCGCCCCTGGCCTGGCCCGTCCTCCAGGCCCAGTAGCGGTGTGCACGGCGTCCTGGCTTGGCCATGGTCTGAAACTGGAACATACGCATTGCCTGTGGCGGGCCGTCTTTCGATCCCAGGGCTTCTTGAGGGTCGGGGACGACGTCGGGATGGTGTGGTGTACGTATTTTGTCCGTCTTCCGGGAGAACAGCAAAAAATGTATACACCAGGATCCCGTATACACCAGGATCCGCTTTCCTGTGCAAGTGTGCGTGCAGGGCCGGAAAATGCGTCGGTGTATAGAGTTCGTTTCCCTACACGGGGGCACATAAGCCGCTCCCAGAAGCAGGAAGGGCCAGGCTGGCCCAAAACTCTGACGTCGTGACTTTTGTCACGGCGTTGACCCGCAGAAGTCTCAACCCCTTCCCCAAGACGGGCTTCTCTGAAGGGGAACTGGAACACACAAATAAATACACACAAATAAAAAGATTCCCCATATTTTCCCATATTTTCTGGGTTTCTGTCTTCCCCCCCACTTCCCATATTTTCCCATATTTTCCTGGGAGTGGACGATTAATTGTGTCTGTGTGTTTCTTTCCCTCCTGATTCTCCTCCGGAGCCGCGTTCTGACGGCCCCGGCGCTCGGCGAAGGGCCCCCGAGAGCCAGAAATCGCCCAAAGCCTCCCGTCGTGTCCTGTTTCGCAGCGCGGAGGCGGGGCGGGGACATGTACAGAACTCGTTGCCCGAACCTTGGGCTTGGAGTACCATGTGGGATCTGGTCTAGAACAGAAGCATAGCGCAGACGGATCCACCTTTTCTCCGACTGTGCACTGCGCCGAACGCAATGGCCTCGTTCTCTATAGACGTATGCACCCCGAATGCGCATACATACATACATATACATATACATATATATATATATACATATATGTACACGCGCAACGACACCCAATGTGTCTATAGACGCTTGTGGCTAAAAAGTCAAAAAGCGGTATTTGGCACAGTCCCGAGATGTTGGTCTTGTAGAAGCAGGTAGACTTTACCCTCCAACCTTGGGCACATCAAGCGGCTGCACCAGCGCCTTGAACTCTGGGAGCATCTGAGAGGGTGCCTTTGGTCCGCGCAGCTGCGACCACTTGGCCTGCAGCTCCGCGAAGAGCGCCTCCTCCTGGGTGGCGCGGGGCCGAACGGGCGCGCCAGAGTGGCAGTACTCCCTGCATCGGCTCTTGATCTCCTCCAGCGCCTCCTTTCAAAGCTCGGTGGCAACTCATGGGAGCCTCCCATACCATCTTGCTGGCTCTTGCGAATCGACGCTAATCGACCCTGATCGACCCGAAGTCCACGCTAATCGACGCTGAATCGACGCTACCTGATGCTATATCGGCACTTTCTCATCGATTACCAAACGCTAGCGCGCGATTGTGCACCCTCCCTAAAGGTGGAACTCCAAAGACTCATTACAAGGCGCCCATGATTTGCGACCGAACTAAAAGTTAAAAGGCGGCATCAACAGAAACTTTCGAGGGTCCGCGGAGGGGGGCTCAGCGCCGATCCAAGAAAAATCCGCGCGGAGCTCAAGAAGTTTACGCTTGTGCGGCTCTTTCTTCTCCGATCCTTCGTGGCCACCATGCCAACAGTCTGCGCCGGCTTGACCAGCTCGAGCGACTCTGCCGGTGGCTCACCGACCTGCGGAGGGGTCCGTGCAGGTACGCAGTCATCCAGCATGTGCTCTGGCTCGGGCTCGAACCTCAAGGACGCGTTGGCCGCGTCCTCCAGCGGGATGCCCTGCGGCATCAGGGCGGCAAGCTTGTCGGCCATGGCCTTTTCTCGGTACGCGTTGGCCGCGTCCTCCAGCAGGCCACCCTGCGGCATGAGGGCCGCGAGCTTGTCGGCCATGGTCTTCTCTTGGTCCGGGCATCTGTGCGACGCAGCGGGGTCGGACACCGCACTGCTGGCACCGGCGCCTCCCACACCCTGCGGCTCGGGACTGCCGCTGGAGGCGTCGGCGCCACGTGCCCTCCGCAGCTCGTGTATCCTCTCCAGCCGCGAGGCGCCGTCACTCGAGGCATTTCCACTGCTCGACGTCGCGCCTGCTGGCACAACGGCCTGCTGGACGGGCTCGCGCGGAGCCCCTCGGCGGGAGGCCAGCGTCGCTGCACAGTCGCTGCGCTGGAGGCGCCAGAGCTCCTCGTAGGAGGCGTCACCAGCCGCCGCAGTGCGGCACGGCGCAGCCAGCGCGACCGACGGTGGCGCAGCGCCATGGCCGCTGCCATCGCTTCGCGGGCGCTGCAGCTCGCTGGTGGCGGCGCCGGTGCACTGGGCAGCAGAGGCCTCGGGGGTGGGCACCACGGGCGGCGCGGGCGGCGCCGCCCTCTCCGCATGCGGGGGCCACTCCACGCGCACGACGGCGGGAGAGGGCGAGGCGGGGTCTGCAGTGCAGCGGGGGCTGCTGGGCGCGACGTCCGCCTCCTCGCGTGCCACAGCAGAGGCCGCGCCGCGTGGGCCGCCGGACGGGTCCGCCTCGAGCTCCGCCAGGGCCGCCGCCGCGCGCTGCTCGCGCAGAGCGGCCATCTCCTCTCGCCGCACCTTCATGCCCAGCACCTGGGAGCGCCTGTCCTCGCGGTTGGGGTCGCGCCCAGCGTCCCACTCGGGCACGTAGTTGCTCACATCCTGCATCTCCAGCGGCTGGGGCTCGAACGGCTTCTTGGGCGCGGCGGGTGCTGGCCCTGCGGCCTTGACGCCCCGCCGCTCCCGCAGCGCCGCCAGCCGTGCCCTCCGCCCTGCGCGGTCGGGGTCAGAGGCGGCAGCCCCAGCGTCCTCCGCCGGTGGCTCCGGCTCCGCGCCCCATTCGGCGCCATCCGCGTGCCGCTCCACCCGCTTGGCCTTGAGCTGCTCGAGCCGTGCCCTCCGCCCCGCGCGGTCGGGGTCCGAGGCGGCAGCCCGAGCCTCCTCCGCCAGGGGCTCCGGCTCCGCGCCCCGCTCGGCGCCGTCCGCGTGCCGCTCCACCCGCTTGGCCTTGAGCTGCTCGACGTGGATGCGCCGCATCCTCGCCGCAGCCCCACCGAGGATGGCGGTGGCGCCCAGGTCCTCCTCGGGTGCATCCGGCGCCGGCACCCCTGGCGCGTCCGCGGCGGTGCCCGAGGCAGGGCGCGGCCAGCGCGGGGGCGCTGGTCGGTCGGCTGCGCCGCCCTGCCGAGCCTCTGCGCCGCCGGGGGCGCCCGGCTGCCGCTCGGGGCGCGAGCGGGCGGAGGACCAGTGGCCGGCGAGCGCCTGCTCGACGAGCGGCGCGGGCGCGGGCGGCGCTTGCGCCGAGGCCGCCTCCGCCCCACCTTCGGTGGCAACGCATGGGAGCCTCCCATACCATCTTGCTGGCTCTTGCGAGTCGACGCTGATCGACGCCGATCGACGCTAAGTCGGCGCTAACTCATCGCTAGATCGGCGCTAGCTCATCGACACGCTCGTCGACGCCAGTGCACTCTAAAGCAGAATTACGAGGGTATACAGGCCTCCGATGATTTGGTACCGAGACCACTCTGGTGGGCTGGGCCGTCCACGGCGCCCCTCTGCGGCGCGGGCTCCCTGGCAGGTGCGGCCACGTCTGGCGAGGAGCTCCAGGTGCTGACGATCTCTTGGAGACCGAGCGCCCCAGTGACGCTCAGGCTGAGGCGCAGCTCATCCTCGAGCCCCTCCCACGCGCACGCCTCAGCCGCCACGGCCGCCTCTGGTGTCGGCGCCTGCGTGTCACCACGCCGCCTCCCCGAGGACCTGGTGGTTGCCACCAAGTCCTCTGGGAGCACCTCTCCGCGTGGCAGAATCTCCCGGTCGTCCTCGCGCAGATGGGCAAGAGCTGATGGAGAAGGCAGATGACGGACGAGGGTGGAGTTTATCGCCGTGGGGGTCACCAGGGTGCAACCAGTAGGCCTCCAAAGGATCGAAAACGGGGCCCGAGGGGATCACTGACGACGGCGCTGACGTGGGTCAAAGTCCTCATGGATGCTTCTTGGGGTCTCTTCGAAGCTCTCTCGGGGGCGCTTGGGGAGCAGTTTAGGGGCCTTTGGGGAGCCTCTTGGGGGCCTCTTGAGAGCGTCTTAGGGGCCTCTCGGGGCTTCCTGAGGGCCTCGTGGGGGCCTCTGTGGGTCTCTTGGGGGCCTCTTGGGAGCCTCTTGGTTCCTCCTGGGAGCCTCTCGGGGCCGAGGGCTCGAAATGTCCGTTCTGGTCCCTCGTCGGGGCACCCTCTCGGAGCCGTCTTGGGGGCCTCTTGGGCCGTCTTGGAGGCGTCTTCGGCCGTCTTGCCCTCTTGGGCCGCTTTGGGTCCATCCTGGAGCCCTCTTGGGCCGTCTTGGGGCAATTGGGGGGGCCCCTTGGGTCGTCTTGGAGTGTCGGGAAGCGGAAGCGAAAACGCCGAACTGCTTCAAAAAATTATGCAAACGGAGTTCCCCACATAAAGATATTAACGATTTCGTGGGACCCATGGGGTACGACAACATCAACACGAAGGATAAGCTAATCGAGCGACTAAGTACGCACGAAAGGGCAGACGAAAGAAAGGCAGAGGGAGGACAATTGCTCAGGAAACGAAGCCTTGTAAATAGTACAGTGTCTTGATACCCTCCTCGCTCTGGCGGGGCCCCGCTGGAAAGGGGGAAGGGCTACGAAACCTGGTAAAGAGTAATGCTTTCCGCGACCCTCCTCGTTCAAGCGCGGCCTCTCTGGAAGAGTGGAGGGAGGACACGAAACAGTGTAAACTGCATTGTTTTCCGATACCCTCCTGGAGGAGGAGGAGGAGGAGGAGGAAGAGGATAAGATGGATGATTGTGAAGAGCATCATCATATCACTATGATGATGATCGTCATCATCATCATGATCCTCATCATCGGAATCATCATAACCATCAGCATCATCATCCTCATCATCATCAGCATCATCATCATCATCATCGTCAGCGTCATCGTCATCATCATCCTCGTCGTCGCCATCCTCGTCATCATCATCATCGTCATCATCATCACCATCACCGTCCTTGGCATCACCATCATCCGCATCATCGTGGACGTCATCATCATCAGCATCATCGTCGCCATCATCATCAACAGCACCAGCAACGCCAGCATCAGCAGCAGGATCGTCATCATTACCAGCATCTGCATCATCATCCTTGTCGTCGTCGCCGTCGTTGTCATCATCGTCATCGTCATCATCATCATCATCATCATCGTCATCAGCATCAGCATCACCATCATAATCGCTTTTATCAACATCGTCATCGTCCATCATCCTTATCGCCATCGTCATCGTCATTGTGAACAGCAGCATAACCATCGTCATCACCATCATCATGATGGAGCTTTCCTCATCGCAGAACTCCCCCTCCTCCTCACCCTCCTCAGTGGGAGTAGTAGGACGTGAGATGGATAGGTAATGTTCTCCCCTCCTCCTGACCCATGTCACTGGGAGGTGCACGAAACCATTTAAATAGTATGGGTTTCCGATACCCTCCTTGCTCAGACGGGGCCTCCCTGGAGGGGTGGGAGGGGCACGAAACCATGTGTAGAGCTGCGTTTTTTGTTCGGGTTGAAAGGGTTTTTGTTTAGGGTTGGCGCGCTGCGGAGGCCCCAACCCGAAAAAAAAAAAAAAAAAAAAAAAACGAAAAAAACCGGATGGCGAGTTTTTTATGGGTTGGGAGGGTTTTTTTCGGGTTGAAAGGGTTTTTTTTTGGGGGGGGGGGGGGGGGGGGGTCCGGGTTGTAGTGGTTTTTTCGAGTTGGGCTGCGGAAATTGGAGGATTCAGGGGAGGAGCTCTCGTAGTGCCTCGTCGTCGTCGTCGTCGTTGTCGTTCGCCGTCGCCGTCGCCATTGCCGTTGCCGTCGCCGTCGCCGGCGCCGTCGCCGTCGCAGTTGCCGTCGCCGCTGCAGTCCAAAGTGAACCACAGTGGGCAAGGAGAGGAGGGTGGTCAGGGTATTGAGCTCTTCTGGATATCATTTTGGAGCATGTTCGCGTGCAACACATTAATTGCAACACAACGCAATACAATTCTCCAGCACAAATCGTTTGCAATACAATTGCCCCAAATCTATTGCACCACCCCCTTGCAGCTGGACCCCCTTTTGGGTCGCCCAGATGAACATCCAACCCAAGAGCCCAGGAAACCAGGATCCCAGGAACCGAGGGACGCAGGTCCTGGGTTCTTGGACTCTTGGACTTAAGCGTAAGAATTCAGAAACCCAGGAAATCAGGAACCCAGGAACTCAGGAATCAGAAATCCAAGAACCCGGGAACGCAGGAACCCAGGAACCGAGGAACCCAAGAACCCAGAGACTCAGGAACGCAGGAACCCAAGGATCGAGGAATTCAGGAACCCAAACCCAAAAATACAGGAACCCAGGGATCAAGGAACCCAAGAACCCAAGAACTCAGGAACCCAGCAGCCCAAGAACGCAGAATCTCAGGAACCCCAAACTCAAGCACCGAAGTACCCAGGAATTCAAGAACCCAGGAACCCAAGACCGCAGGAACTCAGGAACCTAGGAACCCGAGAACCCAGGAACCCAGAAATCCAAACTCAAGAACCCAAGAACCCAGGAGCCCAGGAACCCAGGAAGCCCAGGAACCCAGGAACTCCAGAATTCAGGAATCGAGGAACCGAAGAACCCAGGAACCCAGGAGAGCAGGAAGTCAGGAACCCAAAAACCCAAGATCTCAGGAAGCCAGGAACCCAGGAACCTAAGGACTCAGGAACCCAGGAACCCAAGAACCCAGGAACTCCGGAACCCAGGAAGCCAAGAAACCCAGGAACCCAGGAGAGCAGGAACTCAGGGACCTAAGAACTCGAGAACTCAGGAAACCAGGAATCCAGGAACCCCGGAACCTAAGAACCCAGGACCTCAGGAACCCACAAACCCAGGAACCCAAGAACCCAGGAAGCCAGGCACCCAGGAACCAATGAACCCAAGAACCCAGGGACTCAGGAACACAGGAGCAGGGAACCCAAACCCAAGGACCTAGGAACGCAGGAACCCAGGAATCGAAGAACCAAGGAACTCAGGAACTGAGGAACGCAGGAACGCAGGAACCCCAGACCCAAAAACCCAAGAACCCAGGAATCCAGGGACCCAAGATCCCAGGAACTCAGGACTCAGCAACCCAAGAACCGAGGAATCCAGGAACGCGCAAAACCAAGCACCCAGGAACCCCGAAACCAAAGATCCAGGAACCCAAGAACCCAGGAAGTCAGGATTCCGGGGAAACCAAGAACCCAGAAAGTCCGGAAGTCCAAACCCAAGAACCCAGGAGCCCAGGAACCCAGGAACCCAGGAATCCAAGAGCGCAGGAACCCAGGAACCCACGAACCCAGGAACTGGGGAACCCAAGAACCCAGGAACACAGGAACCAAGGAACCCAGGAACCCAAGAACCAAGGAACCCTTGAACTCAGGAACCCACGATAACCTCAGAACCCAAGAACGCAGGAACCCGGGATCGCAGAAACCAAAAAAAGCAGGACCCAGAACATCAGGAACCAAGGAAGTGAGGAACCGAAGAACCCAAGAACCCAGGAAGCCACGAACCTGGCAACTCAGGATATCGGGAACATAGCCAGCCAGGAACCCAAGAAAGCAGGAACCGAGGATTGCAGGATCCCAGGAACCCACAAACTTAGGGACCCGAGATCCAAGGAATCCAAGAGCCCAGAAGCCAAGGAACCCAGGAACATCAAGTGCAAGAACTCAGGGTACCGGGACCTGAGGGACCCAGGAACCCAGCCACGCCAAACCAACGAACCTTTGAGGAGGAGATGGAGGAGGAGGAGGAGGAGGAGGAGGAGGAGGAGGAGGAGGAGGAGGAGAAGGAGAAGGAGGAGGCGGAGGACGAGGGGGAGGGGGAGGAGGAGGAGGAACAGGAGGAGGAAGAGGAGGAGGAGGAGGAGGAACATGAGGTGAAGGGGGAGGGGGCGAAGCGGGCACATGTCGGTCCCCGGGAGCACAGGAATGAACCCACGGCGCGAAATCAAGATCGAGGATGGCTCCGAGAGCTGCTTGGGAATTCCAAGGGCGGATGTCGGGGCTGGGTCCTCACGGGCGGGCGGGTCGGGCGGCGGGCGGGCGGCGGGCCAAGCGGGCGGGACATTCAAGTATAACGCATATGCACCTGATGACGCATGTAACATGTGACACGCGTGGAAACCGAACGGAAGAAAAACGGGTCGGGCAGGCGGGGCTTTAACGGGCGGGCGCGGCAGGCGGCTGGCGGGGCCCGAACGGGGCGGGCGGGCGAGCGGGTCGGGCGGGCGGGACATTGAAAGTATGGCGCAGATGCAAAGTATGACGCGTGTACCAGGTGGCACACGTGGAACCATAATGGGCGGGCGGCGGATTGAGCGGGCGAGACTGTAATGGGCGGGCGGGCCGGGCAGACGGCGGGTCCGGCGGGCGGGACATGCAAGTAGGACGCATGTGCGCAGTATGGCGCATGTACCAGGTGGCGCGCGTGGAACCCTGACGGGCTGGCGGCGGATCGTGCGGGCGAGACACTAACGGCCGAGCGGGTCGGGCGGCGGGCGGGGCCCTCGCGGGCGGACTCGGACGGGTGGGACATTAAAGTAGGACGCGTGTACACAGTATGGCGCATGTACCGAGTTGTACGCGTGGAACCCTGACGGGCGGGTGGCGGGTAACGCACGCGGGAACCCTGACGGGCGGGCGGATCGCGCGGCGGGCGAGCGGCGGGTCAGGCGGGCGGGACGTTAAAGTACAACGCGTATACACATTATGACGCATGTACCAGGTGGCACGCATGGAACCCTCCCGGGCGAAAAGCGGATCGGGCAGGCG